CCAGCCGATCAAGCACCACTCGACCCTGTCCCCGATGATGTGGCTCCAGTCGAACTTGCGCCCGTGAAGTCCAGACCAACCGATCCCAGACGCGGTGCGGCATTGTCAGCCCAGGGAAGTCCAGCCCCCCAGCTCCTCCTGGAGTCAGAGTCCCTGGACCCCCCGAAGGCCGTCAGCCCTGAAGCCACCCAGGGCGTGGGTCCTCCGAAGGCGGAGAGCGGTACCAGTGCCGCCGCCCAGGAAGCCAGGCCGCGGCCTCTCAGCCTGTCCGAGTATCGGCGACGGAGGCAGCAACGCCAGGCAGAGGCAGAAGCGAGGAGTCCCCAGCCCCCGGCAGGGAAGTGGCCCAGCCTTCCGGAGACCCCCACGGGGCTGGCAGACATCCCCTGCCTCGTCCTCCCATCAGCCCCAGCCAAGAAGACCGCATTGCAGAGAAGCCCAGAAGCCCCGCCTGAGGCGTGTGTCATGCCTGCGGGTCCCAGCCCTGCTTCTCCCAGCCCTGCTTCTCCCAGCCCTGAGCTGCCTGCAGGCAGACCTGTGGCCTCAACTCCCCCTGAGCAGCTGCCGCCCCGAGAAACGCCACTGCTGGCAAGACCCTCCCCTTCGGCACCGCCCATGGCGCCCGCCGCTCTGCCTTTCTCCCCCTGTGGGCTGGCCGTGCCCTCCAGCCTGCCCCCACCGCCCTTGCAACCCTCTGGTCTCCCGGGGCCTGTGGGGTCTGTGCTGCCTGACCCCTATACCAAGTATGCCCCTGTGCCTCCCTGGCCTTGTTACCCCCCCGTGTCCCCTTCTGGGTATCCGTGCCTGCCGCTGCCACCAGCAGTGCCCTTGGTGTCTGGTACTCCTGGCGCCTGTGCTGTGCCCCCCGTGCCCCCTACCTGCAGAGTGCCTTGGGTGTCCCCTCCTGCCCCAGCGTCACCCTACAGTTCCAGCTGCGCCTACGGGCCCTTGGGATGGCACCCGGGGCCCCAGCACCCTCCGTTCTGGTCTGCCATCCCCCCGCCTCCTTTGCCTCCAGCGTCTGCTGGGAGAGCTGTCCCGCCACCCAAGATGGAGCCCAGCAGCCTTCCAGCAGGCCCTCCTGAAAATGTAGTTCCTGTCCCAATGGCTCCTCCTCTCGGCCTTGGACCGGCTGGCCACGGGACGCCACAGATGGAGCCTGCCATGGTGGAGGTCCGGCCGGCACCTGCATCTCCCCACGGGAAACACAAGGGGTCCTCACTGGTGCAAAGCCCCCGGGTGAAGAAGGCTCCCCCATGCGTGTCTGTTGAAGAGCCCACGCCTGTGGCGCTGCAGTCTGAGGCCCAGGAGGCCAGGCCCGGGGAGAAGGCCCCCTCTCCTGCTGCCAAGGTTGCCCCTGCACCACGGCAGGGCACTGTCCCTAAGCTGCCTGCGGTCCACCCTGCCCGTCTGAGGAGGCTGTCCTTTCTGCCTGCCCCACGGACACAGGGCTCGGAAGACGTAGTCCAGGCTTTCATCAGTGAGATTGGTGAGCACCCCGTGGTTCAGTGGGTGCAAGGAGTGGCAGAGGGGTTGGCTGGGGCTGTTCTCCGTAGGACAGGATGCCGTCCTGATGAGGCTGGCCTTGGCGTTTCTTGGGAGAGCTTTTTCTCTCGTCTCAAGAGCCAGGGCCTCACTGTATTGCCCAGGCTGGCCTCAGATGCCTGGGCTCCTCAAGTGCTGGGATTGCAGGCCTGAGCCACAGTGCTGGGCTGTGGGGGCTTCTTCAGAGGCGGAGCTTCAGTGTGCTGCCTTCTCTGCTGCCGGGTTCCCTTGGTGCGGCGGGCGGGAGTGGCGAGGGAGGAGTGGGCGATGTGGGGCCTCCTGGGTCCTTGGCCGGTAGGGGCTGTCTTCAGCCCGTGTCGTGTGCCTCCACAGGAATTGAGGCATCGGACCTGTCTAGTCTGCTGGAGCAGTTTGAGAAATCAGAAGGTGAGGGAGCCCGGGGGGTTGTGTGCCAGCTCTTTCTTGTGGATGCTTCTTTGGGCCCAGCCCTGCAGTTGTTTAAGCGGGGGGAGGGGGAGGGAAATCTCAGCCACTAGAGCAGCCCCCTAAATGGGACGGGGAGATGGGATTCACCTGTGATCCCCATCTGAGCTAGGGATGGTGGCACAGCATGGCGAGTGCTGTAAGAGCAGACTGGAAAGACTCAAGCGGGTTGGGATTGTCTGGGGACGTTTCTCTAGTGTGCAGTAGCTCTCCAGCTGGGCCTTGAGACGATTTCTGAGATGATTTTCAGGGAGAATAAAGGCGGGGGGAGGTGTGGGGAGAGGAGCCAGCACATCTGGAAGGCAGAGAATAGCTGGGCTTTCTCGCACGAGGTGCGGATCGAGGGGCCAGGGAGGACACTCCTTTTCTCAAGGAGCCTGCGGTCTAACTGGGGAGCAGAATCTGCAGAAATGACGCCTGAGTTGGTACTGGGCTTCTATAGAACAAGACAGAATGTAAACTGGCACGCGTAGGGCAAGAGGACACGAGACCAGGAAGGTGGGGTGGTCACGTAGACCCGCGGACGCTGGGCTTCTGCGTTTGGACTCTCAAATTCAGTGCAGAGTGTAGGTGTTTGGAGCAGAAAAAGGATGTGGTTAAAAATAGTGCTTGGACACCCAGGCAAGAGGCTGGATCTTCGAGGAGAGCCTGGCGGGGAATCTGCAGGCAAAGTAGATGTTCCTTCTTTGGGTCCTGAAGCTCTTCTGCACCTCCTCCAGTTTGGAACATCTGGTTGGGCTTTTAACTAGTATGGTTTCTTTGCAGCCAAAAAGGAGGGTCCTCCCCCGGCTTCTGCTGACAACCTGGCTGTAGGAAACTCAGGGTGAGTATGGAGACGTGTGAGCGAGTTACCCTACAGCGGTTGGTCAGCAGCCGGCCGGCACTCCAGGACCATCGACTAGATGTTTCTGTCGCAGGGACCTTTGAGTTGGCTCTGGTCTTCCCTATGTCCTTCTCCCCTGCTCCACCCATCATGGCTGGGCACAGGCTTGGGTGGTGAGGTGGGAGGGTGTGTCCTGCTCTCTGATGGATCTGGTTGGGGATCCCAGGTGCCCTGGAGGTGCCTGTGGTCTTCTGGCAAGTCCTTCCTTTGGAAATTTCTCTCATTTAGTGGGCTTCAAGCTTGCTTGATGCTGTTGATGGTGTCACTTGAATGGGGGATGATTTTTTTTTTGAGTTGGAGTTTCACTCCATCGCCCAGACTAGAGTGCAGTGGCTGCTCCGGCCACTGCAGCCTCAACCTGCTGGGCTCCGGTGATCCTTCTGCCTCAGCCTTCCAAGTAGCCGGAATTACGGGCGTGTGCTACCACGCTCGGCTGATTATTTATCGTAGAGATGGGGTCTCGCCAAGTTGCCCAGGCGGGTCTCAAACCCGCAGGCTCAGGCAATCCACTCACCTCAGCCTCCCAAGGCGTGGGATTACAGGCTGAGTCACCAAGCCCGGCTGAATGGGGGATGATATTAATGGCTAGGACTCCCCTGACTCCTTGGAGGGCATGGGCATGCTGGACCTCCTCGCTTCCCCATCTTGCAGCACTGAGAAGCCTTTTTTTTTTTGACTTGGAATCTCCCTCTGTCACCCAGGCTGGAGTGCAGGGGCACGGCATGCTCATGGCCACTGCCGCCTTGACCTGCTGAGCTCAGGCAATCCTTCAGCCTCAGTCTTCCAAGTAACTGGAACTATAGGCATGTGCCACCACATCCTGCTAATTTTTTGACTTATTGTAGAGGTGATGTCTTGCCAAGTTCTCTAGGCTGGTCTCGAACCTGTGAGCTCAGGCAAACCTCTCACCTCATCCTCCCAAGATGCTGGGATTATAGGCATAAGCCACCGTGCCCAGCCTTTTTTTCCCATTTTTACGTTCGTGGTATTTGTGTGTGTGTGTGAGAAAGCAGGATTCCTTGAGAGGACAGAGAAGCTCCCACAGTGGGAGGGGACCCGACGGGGCTGCCCTGTTCATAGTATCATGTTCATGATAGCCTGCTCTGTTCTGCCAAACATGGTCCCCTCCACACTGGTCTTGGGTGTGAGCTGGCAGGTGCTGCCCGATTTGAGGGAGGTGGGCAGTATTCAAGGTCACGGCCAGCCTACCTCTTGGAGTTGGGCAGGGCTAAGTTGAGACCCAGTCTACAGAGAGCTCAGTTGCTGAGACCTTTTGTGCAGGAGGAGGGTGGGGCCGTTTGTGCGTCCCATCGTCTCTGCACACACCCTCCGCCACTGCTTTGTGAGGAAAGCAAGTGTGCGTGGTACTGAGGAGGAATGAACCAGGCTCTGCCTTTTCCCCCGCCAGCAGCGTTGACACTCCCCAGGAGAAGAGGCCCCTAGACCGGTTACAAGCCCCAGAACTGGCCAACGTGGCAGGTGGGTTCAGGGTGGGGAACTCTGCCTGTGGTTAGTTCATGCAGCAACATCTGTGGCGCCCGCCCTGCGTCGTGTGCGTACAGGCCTTGACACAGATCTGATCTCCAGCCTGGAGGGACTCGCAGTTCAGGGGCAGATGTGTACATGAGTGAACATGCTGAGTGTCCAGTGGTGTGCTGAAGCCAGTGGTTTTACACTGCGATGTGAAGGGGACAGTCAGGGAAGGGAACCCCCTAAGCTGAGGCTTGAGAACATCACTGATAGCCGTCGGGGAGCACTCTGGGGACATGGGGCAGCTTGAGTGAACTGAGGAAACAGAACCAGCCAGGCATGTTTTGGGCAGCTGTGAGTGGCTTGGTTTGGCTGGAGTGGCGGTCAGGGTGGTGGGCAGAGCCAAAGCGAGAGAGAAAGCTGGAGTGGGAAGTAGGTCACCAAATCCTGAGACCCTCGAGTGCATGTGAAGCTCTTTGGACTTCATCCTGCATGTTGAGGAAGCAGCTGAAGAAACTCTGGCAGGCTGGTTTTTGGTGGCTTCGTCCAGCAGGAATGTAGGGGGTAGATGGGTGTGGAGCTGGGAACGGGGAGACCCTCCGAAGGTGATGGCACGAGTCCAGGCACAACGCAGCCTAGAAGTCAGGCCGTGCGGGGGCGGGCTCAGGACCGAGAGGCCGCCTGGATGGGACCTGCCCGGGATGGGTTTGGCCAGTGAGGACGTGGGGCTCGGGGCCCCTGGCTGGATGCGCTTCTGCAGAGGCGCAAGGTGGGGGTCGTGAGGGAAATCGGGCTGTTGACCGTGGGGGGTGATGCTCCTGAGATGAGGTGGGGGCCTCTGGAGCCTGCACACAGCCTTTGGAAGTGTAGGGTCGGATCTCACCCTGCTATCTCCATCCTCCCTCCCACCACAGGGCTCACCCCTCCAGCTACCCCTCCCCACCAGTTATGGAAGCCCCTGGCTGCTGTCTCTCTGCTGGCCAAAGCCAGATCTCCTAAGTCTACCGCCCAGGAGGGAACCCTGAAGCCTGAAGGAGTTACGGAGGCCAAACATCCAGCCGCAGTCCGCCTCCAAGAAGGGGTCCATGGCCCTAGTCCGGTCCATGTGGGCTCCGGGGACCATGACTATTGTGTCCGGAGCAGGACGCCCCCCAAAAAGATGCCCACCTTAGGCATTCCAGAGTTAGGCTCCCGATGGAATGTGAAGCGCCATCAGGACATAACCATCAAGCCTGTCTTGTCCCTGCGCCCGGCCACCCCTCTGCCCCCATGTGCCGCTGCCTCCCGGGAGCCGCTGGATCACAGGACTAGCAGTGAGCAGGCGGAGCCCGCGGCACCTTGCCCCGCCCCGTCTGCCTTGCTGTCCCCTGAGGCCTCACCCTGCAGGAGCGACACAAGCACTAGGACTGCCCCTGAGCCCTCAGCCACGCAGCGGTCAGTGCGCTGTTACCGAGAAGCCTGCAGGTCAGCCAGCCCCCCAGGCCGGGGCTGGCAGGGCCGCCGAGGCCGCAGCAGCCGCTCCGTCAGCTCTGGGTCCAGCCGGACCAGCGACTCGTCTTCCTCAGCCTCGTCGTCTTCCTCCCGCTCCCGCTCCCCGCCGCACAAGAGGTGGCGAAGGTGAGCGCCGATGGCCCTTCAGACACTCTTCTGCAGTCCCTTAGCAAGCTTTTACGCGTTGACTGTGGTGCTTTGGGGCCCTATACCTTTTTTTTTTTGAGTTGGAGTCTCACTCTGTCGCCCAGAGGCTGGAGTGCAGCGGCCGCTCCCGGCCACCGCAGCCTCGACCTGCTGGGCTCCGATGATCCTTCCGCTCAGCCTTCCGAGTAGCTGGAACTACAGGCATGCGCTACCACGCCCGGCTAATTTTTTTTGTTTTATTGTAGAGATGAGGTCTCACCAGGTTGCCCAGGCGGGTCTCGAACCCGCAGGCTTAGGCAATCCACTTACCTCGGCCTCCCAAAGTGCTGGGATTACAGGCTGAGCCACCGAGCCCGGCCTTGGAAAGTCCTTCTTGATGTCTAACCTCCATCCCTCGTACTTCAGAGTCCATACCTCTTTATTTTGAGGATTTTTATTTTTTAAAATAATTTAGGAAACGGCTTTAAACCATTAGCAGAAATCACCTCAGGGAAAACTGAACGAAGAGGGTAAGGCTGCCATGCTGCACTTCAATTCAAATGACGCCCCCTGCAGTTGTGCAGTGTGGTGACTCTGGAGAGGAGGATTTTGCTTTTTAGTTTGCTTCTATCGTTTGAATATTTAACTTTATAGATGAGTCACTTGAATTTTCAAGAGTCAGTGGGGTTTATGGGCAGAAAGACTTGGGGCCTTTTCTGTTCTCTCTCTCGTCGGTACCACTGCATAAAAAGCTGAACCAGGCTGGGTGCAGTGGCTCACACCTATAATCCCAGCACTTTGGGAGGCAGAGGTGAGAGGATTGCCTGAGAACGTGGGTTCGAGACCAGCCTGGGCAACTTGGCGAGACCTCATCTCTACAATATATCAAAAAATTGGCCAGGCATGGTGGCGTGTGCTTATAGTTCCAGCCCGGAAGTCTGAGGCAGAAGAAGCCCCTGAGCCCAGCAGGTGAGGCTGTGGTGGCTGTAAGCATGCCACTGCACTCCAGCCTCGGCAACAGAGTGAGACTCCAACTCAAAAAAAAAAACAAAAAGCTGGGCCAGTGCATTCTGCGAAATTTACAAATAAGACTTTTAAAAAATTATGTCATCCTGTAATCCCAGTACTTTGGGAGGCTGAGGTGAGTGGATTGCCTGAGCCTGTGGGTTCAAGACCAGTCTGGGCAACTTGGTGAGACCCTGTCTCTACAATGAATCAAAAATTAGCTGGGCATGGTAGTGTGCCTGTAGTTCTGGCTACTTGGAAGGCTGAAGTGGAAGGATTGCCGGACCCCAGCAGGTCGACACTGGGATGACCATGAGTGTGCCACTCGACTCCAATCTGGGCGACAGAGACTCCAGCTCAAAAAAAAAAAGTATTATGAAAAAAGCTAGCCCAGCTCAGTGGCTCAGCCTGTAATCCCGTGCTTTGGGAGGCTGATGTGAGTGGATTGCCTGAGCCCGCGGGTTCAAGACCCACCTGGGCAACTTGGTGAGACCTTATCTCTACAATAAATCAAAAAATTAGCTGGTCGTGGTAGCCCACGCCTGTAGTTCTGGCTACTTGGAAAGCTGAGGTAGAAGGATCTCCGGAGCCCAGCGGGTCGAGGCTGCGGTGGCTGGGAGCAGCCACTGCACTCCAGTCTGGGCGACAGAGTGAGATTCCGACTCAAAAAAAAAAGAAAAGAAAAGAAAAGGTCATGAAAAAAGCTAAGCCAACAAAAGGAAAATATAGTAACATTGAAAGTGAGATCAATACTTGCTTTCATATTCATTTTCTCTGTAACCCCCTCCCCATCTACTTGTAAATAGGGTTTGAATCTGCCTAATCTGGGGCTGGTCTCTTGGATCTACTCATAGAGTGATGCTGTGTCCATTTTGGCTTGAATGAAGAAACTGCAGAAAGCATGTCATGAGTTCTGTTATTGCATTTGCTGTAAAAATACTATAACAGGTTCCTCCCCCTCCCAGTGCCCCCTTTTATGGCTCCATGTGAGAACCTTCTCATGATCTTATCGCTAGGAAATGCACTTCCCCAGAACCCGTGTGCTGTCCCACGTTCATGAGTTGGATGTGCTGAGCCCTCGTGGATTGGGCACTGGGAAGGTAGCCGTCACGAGGCAGCCACAGTCCCTGCTCTCACAGAGTGTGGGAGACAGAAATGGAAGAATCAAAGAATTGCATGTGTGAAGTTTCCTTGATTCTGGAGAACATCATCACTGTTCATATTTCCCTTTTTTTCTTGACTGCCAGTAAACTCAGAGTTACACTGGAATCTCAACTGTAACAACTGTAGGCCCTTACATAGTTCATTATTTGTGTTCTCTGCTTTGCTTTTTAAGTTTTTATTTTATTATTATTAGTTTTTTGAGTCAGAGTCTTACTCTGTGGCCCAGGCTGGAGTGCAGTGGCAAAGTCACAGCTCACCAAAGCCTCAAATTCCTGGGCTCAAGGATCCTCCCTCCTCAGCCTCCTGAGAAGTTGGAATGACAGGCAGGCACTACCATACCCAGCTAATTTTTTTATTTTTATTTTTGTAGAGATGAGGTCTTGCTATGTTGGCCAGGCTGGTCTTGAACTGCTGGGCTCAAGCAATCCCCTGCCTTGGCTTCACAAAGAACTAAGATTACAGGCGTGAGCCACCGTGTCCAACCAACCTTTCTTTCCTTATACACGTGTCTTTGTTGTAAATGACCTCAAATCTCGTGTAGAAAAAGGCAGATCATATGTCAGGCGTGTTAGCCCACCACACCTGGAATTACAGCACTTTGGGAGGTGGAGGCAAGAGGATTGCCTGAGTCCAGGGGTTCAAAACCAGCCTGGGCAACATGGCGAGACCTTGTCTCTACAATAAATAAAAAAATTAGCTGGGCATTGTGGCGTACACCTGTAGTTTCAGCTACTTAGACGGCTGAGGCTAAAGGATTGTCGGAGCCCAGCAGGTCAAGGCTGCGGCGGCCAGGAGCGTGCCACTGCACTCCAGCCTGGGTGACAGAGTGAGACTCTGACTCAAAAAAAAGAAAGAAAGAGTCAGATAAGAAAAAAAGCCACCTTTTTTGTTTAATCTTTAGAGTCGCCAATTGACAAGTCAGAAAATAATTACTGAACTTTATTTGTTTGTGTATTTTTAGACACAGGGTCTCACTATGTTGCTCAGGCTGGTCTTGAACTCCTGGTCTCAAGCAAACCTTTTGCCTTAGCCTCCCAAGTAGCTAGATTACAGGTGCATGCCACTGCACCTGACTCAATTATTAAACTTTAGAATGTAGTCATTAACTTTGGGGGAAGCATAGTTTTAGACTTTTTTGGTGCCATAGACATAGGCAGATAGGACATGAGTTAGCAAGCCCCTGGTAGAGGCTTGGGTGTGTGTTGAAACCAGAGGTCTGCAATTTAGCTGCCAGCCCCGGTGGCTGAGTGGTGTGAGGGTCTGGAAGCTTGCTGTCCTCAATCCTGCACTGCTTCTTCAGACCTGTCTGTTCCCCAAGTTACTCAGCTCTTAAAACTCCAAAGTAACAGTTGATTGGATAAAAGCAATGTGGTATAAATACACAGTGAAATACTACTCAGCCATAAAAAATGAAATCTTGTGACTCATGGCAACATGGATGGAACTGAAGGGCATTATATTAAGTGAAACAAGCCAGGAATGGAATCACCACACATTCTCACGCATATGGAGAAGCTAAAAAATGTTGATCTCACAGAAATAAAAAGTAGAATAGAGGATTCTAGCAGCTGAGAAGGGCAGGGGAAGGTAGGGTAGGGAGAGATTTGTTAAAGGAAAAAAATTACAGCCAAATAGAAGGAATAACTGTAAGATGACTACAGTTAACATACGGTCTCAAACAGCTAGAAAGAGACTACTGAACGTTCCAGCACAAAGAAATTATCAATGTTTGCGATGATGGGGGGAAAAAAATAACCAACAGAGAGGGAGAGACATCATTCAGAACTCAGCCCACACTCTACGTTCTTTTTTTCTTTTTCTTTTTGGTGAGTCAGGGTCTCACTCTGTCATCCAGGCTGGAGTACAATGGCATGATCATGAGGATCACAGCTCACAACACCCTTGACCTCCTGGGCTCAGGCGATCCTTCCACCTCAGCCTCCCGAGTAGCTGGGATTACAGGTGTGCCACCATGCCCAGCTAATTTTTTGATTTTTTTGTGGAGACAAGGTCTCACTATGTTGCCCAGGCTGGTCTTGAACGCCTGGGTTCAAGCAAGTCTCATGCCTCAGCCTCCCAAAATGCTGGGATTACAGGCATGAGCCACTGTGCCTGGTCTGCATCCTGTGTTCTTTTAGTCCTCACTGCCTGACTTCTTTTCTCGTCGTGCAAACAGTCAAGAGAATCCATGTTCATTCCTCTGCTCAAGGACAGCAAGACAACAGAGGGCACGGGATCGAAGGGCCCTTGTCCATTACATGCCCGAATCACTCGGAACTTGTTGTAATGGCAGTAATGTTTACATCTCCCAACCCAGGTTTGTTTGACATCAAAACTCAATGGCCTTTCAACTGGAGTCTAAACATCAAGAAATCTCTTTCCTGGAAACATTCCACACAGAGATTCTCCTTGGGTTATGAAGGGTCAGGGGCCATTTCACGCTGAAGGCAGGGAGATGGATAAGACACCCCCTCAACGTTCCTTTTAGAGGGTCCCTATAGGAATGAGATGGAATCTGATGTCCACCCTGACCCACCAATCCCATGCACCTTGGATTGGAGAGAGGAGCAAGCCCTCTAAGGCCACCTGTCACCCTCCCTCCTTCCCTTACTGCCCCTCCCAACCCTGCTAGATGACTCCAGGACAAGACAGGATTAGGGCACAAGATAGCAGTTAAAGCTGAAGCTTTGCCGAGCACGGTGGTTCAAGCCTGTAATCCCAGCACTTTCGGAGGCCGAGGTGAGAGGATTGCCTGAGCCCGGGGGTTCAAGACCAGCCTGGGCAACAGGGCGAGACCTTATCTCTACAATCAATCAAAAAATTAGCCAGGCAGGG